GTGATAATCGACTCATTGTCTTCGTGAACTTTTCATTTTCTAACGGGTGTGATTTGCATGATCGACGCCAAAAAAAAAAAAACTAAGCGACTGTATTTCGGTTTGGCACGCCACACTTTTATAACTAATGATGGATTTGAGCACCTAAAAATGAAACATCTTGCTCTGTTTAACGAGAAACGTCAAAGTTCAGTGTTCATCCCTTTTGGAACGGTTGGATTTGCTTCACGAGATCGATCAGATCGAGAGTACAAGTAAAGCTTCTGTCATTAAACAGTAAGCTTTCTGTGCGTGGAAATTGACCTATTGTACTCATGAGCTTTTCATTTTCTTGCGGGTGTGATTTTCAAGATCGAAGACAAAATCAGTAACTGTTAAAATAAATAAAAAAATTTTTAAAAAAAACAGGCGGACGGATTGGATCGGTAATTTGCTCGAAATTAACCACATCACTGGTCTTTCCTTTGAAGGCATTAATCCAGCGAGCGACTGAAATATGGCAACAAGCAGATGACATTAGAGAGAGAGAGAGACGTAGCTGGACTCTCAGTAATAATCAATAGTTATAATAAATAGCTATACATATTTATTTTGACGAGGTGGGGGAAATGGACTGGACTACAGTTCCGTTGTAGGATCCCCGAATCCAGTAAGCACTCTCCTGAAAACTCTCAACGGAAATTCGCCCTGCTTTAACCTTTCCCTCAGACAACTGCGAGAAACTTGCAACAAGAGGGCACTGACAACAAGCGTTCATTTGAATGATAAAAATTGTATATGACTAAGGTTCTTCCTCGTCTTCGAAAAATAACAAACAATTGCAAGCTTGACAGGCTTGCTTCCCGTTTAATTTAGTATTGATGTCAACATTACCTTATTTCTCGAAATTCGGGAAATTTAATTTTCCAAGGCTACACGGTCAAAGCCAAACAAGTCGCATTTGCGAATGATGGGCTCACTGTTATAGAAGGAAGGTCCCAATGGGGTAATGGCTTTTACGGCTAACGGTTAAAATTTTAGCCATTTAACGACTATCGGTTAACATTATCCCATTAATTGTAGCAAAATATTGTTGTCGCAAGCTATTACCAAGTAACGAGCTTACTTATCAGATGAATGTCGCTGAAAACGAATCTATTCTTAGCTTATGAGAATGATAGAAAATTTGTGAGGCCACAAAGTGTTGCGATTAATTAATTTTACTCCGGAGGCAATTTTTGCACAACATGTCATGACTTAATAGTACCAGGACAGGACAGGACAAGACAAATTAGCCTTTTTGTCTTTGCGATTAAAGGGTTACTCATACCACAAGTAACCGTAAAGTTAAAGCTCAAGTTTCGGTAAAGTTACTCGAAAAAACAATACAAAATTATCGACGTCGCAGCTGATACTTACGAAAGTGAAACGACAAAAACAGCGAAAAACATTTGACACTTTTCCCTTAAAAAGATCTTGACTAATTTTAAAACCACAAAATACAGTTCTGCACGTTTTTGACCGTTTAAGAGATAGAGAAATGTTTTGGTTGTCATTTTACCAGTAACCTGTCAACGTGATGGAATTAAAAAAAAAATTTTTTAGTCTTCCTTCTCCCACATTTATAAAAGGATTTAATAATGAGTTTGTGAAATAGCAATGACAAAATATTTAGACTTTAGAGCGAATGTTGTTTGAGTTAATTTCAAAGCCTAACAAAGCTTCTCAACCAATTTAACGGCTGGGCTTCGTATATTAATTACATCTGAAAAGTAAGCGCAGTGATCAGTTACACTTCCTCACAGAGAATTATAGCATCTTTCTTTCACGCGGTGTCATGGACTGACCTCTCTTCTTATGCGAGACCTTGCTACTTTCGCAAAAAGCGAACAAAATCACGTGAATTACTAATGAAAATTATGGACATTGGAAAACTACGAACTGTAACACCGCGAATATCCTCTGACATAAGTAAAGGACAGTCCGCATTATAAATATGTCTTGATGGAGGACTGATTTTAGTTTACGATCACGTAATTTTAGAAAGCATCAGTTTCTCAAATTAAACAATGCTGAACAGTCTTAGCTAATGAGGTTGAAATACATTGTATAAAACCATAAAGGTTTGAAGAAAGCAATTTCCTTAACGGTGGAGATATGAAGCATCGATCAACGGAAAAGTACGCTCATACTATGTATGTAAAAACAGTGGATTAAAGAAAGTTTCAGTTTCTCTGAAAAAATAAAACATCTCTCTTCGTGAGCGTGCAGCGTCATAACTTATCTTCTTATGCGAGACTCTGGCGTTTTAACAGAAAAAGAAACAGATTACGGCCTTCAGAAAAATATGAACCGTAGAGCCCGCCGCTAGTATCCAAAGATTTAAGTGAAGGGTATCTCGACCATGAAACGCTTGTGTATAAGTAGAGAACAGAAATTCAATTCGAATCTAGCGCGATCTCTGAATCGTTTGTTCAACCCTCCTAAAACAGAGTCGAGTTAAATGCCGATCATAGGCACTGGAAAACCACGTAATAAAGCACCACGGGTTTCCTTCAGAGAGGGACAGCCCACATCATAAATAGAGGTCTGATTTTTAGTTTTATGATCATCAATTTCTCAAATTGAACGACACTCAATCACATTAGTTAATGAGGATAGATTATACGGTATAAAGCCACAGAGATTCGAGAAAACCGCTGAATAACGAATTAATTTCACTGTGTTGGCGATTCAATCGCGCCATCAACCGCTTTAATGAAGGGCTAACGCTCGAAACG